GGAAAACAGGTAATCTTAAAAAAAGAAATTATTTCACCCGATCCTCCCAACAATGCCATGAGATAGGTATCATTATACCATTCTGCAGATACTGCAGCTTACAGAAGTCAAGTCACTGCCAAAGATAACGAGTTGTGGAGCTGGGGCTGTAATCCAGGAATCCAGGAAATCAAGTTTAGAGTTAGCACTCTTAACCACTATAACTATGCCATACTGCCCTACTGATTTCTGTTCTTTAAGGCCTACCTACATAAACTCACACAGTTCTAAGAGCTGACCCTTGCCTATGACAGCATCTGGTTTTCCAAGGATGTCAGGTTAGAGCCTCAAGGGCATCCCAATATCTTCTACCAATCCTCCCACCTACCGCTTCTTGGCGATTTCATTCTGCCGTTTCACCTTCTCTTCCTCAAACTCCCGGATGTTGCGCACACCGATCTCCCGACAAAACTCTTCAAACACCTCATCCTCTACCTGAGAAGAGAAGCCAGGGAGGGCATCGGCCCTTTTAGTCTGTCCTGCTTCCAGTCCCAGTCCTGCCCTGATGCACACGCTGGCATGGCCCACACCCTACCAACCTGGTTCATCTTCTCCTTCAAGTCTTTCATCTCCCTCTCTCGGCTCTGAATGATCCTCTTGATATCATTAATGCGAGGCCCAAAGTTGGCTAGCTCACTCTCCAGCTTGGATTTTTCCTACAGGCAATGGGTTGAGAGGACAAAACAGACCAGAGTCCTTGGAGGAAAAGCTACCTTGACTGCATTGGTCCCACAGTCAGGAAGGGCTAGCTCTCCACATCTGAGAGAACCTGGTTTAGCACTACTGCCCTAGTCAAGTCTCCATGATGTTGCACAGAAGCCATCACATGGCTTCTTCCCTGGCATCCAATTCAGCCAGCTTCAATCCACAGGGCTGGGCATACAGTAAACATCATTAGGTATAGGTCCCAATCTTTGATCTATAACCCCTGGGGGCAGAGTTGTTTCAGAATTCAGTTTAGGGTTTTTGAGTTTAGAAAAAGATATATAAATACACACACTACACATAAGACTTCCAGGGTGGTCTGGGGAAGTACTCGATAATAATAATAAAAAAAAAATTAATATACCTAGAACAGTACTGCCCCCCACCCCACCACTACCACAAGCAGGGACTGAAATGCCCACAGCTCACTTTCAAAAATTCAAATTGCTGAATGAACAAATTATGCTAACAATAGCACCTAACATAAACTGAACACATAGCAGTCTTAGGCACTTTACATGTTAACTCATTCAATAATGACCCTATAAAGTAGGTATCATTTATTTATTTATTTTGAGACAGAGTCTCTCTCTGTCACCCAGGCTGGAGTAAAATGGCGCGATCTTGGCTCACTGCAACCTCCACCTCCCAGGTTAAAGCAATTCTCCTGCCCTCAGCATCCCAAGTAGCTGGGATTACAGGCGCCTGCCACCATGCCCGGCTAATTTTTTATATTTGTAGTAGAGACAGGGTTTCATCATGTTGGCCAGGCTGGTCTCCAACTCCTGATCTCAGGTGATCCACCGTGTCCGGCCGAGTAGGTATTATCTTAACTTGCATTTCACAGATTAAGATGTGAAGGTTGACACTGAGAGGTGAAATTACTTGCCTAATGTCATACTCAACGCAGAGCCAAGCTCTGAATCCCTAGCTGTCTGACTCTATGCTATACTTGGCTTCCTGCGGCAGGCTGGGAGGAGACAGGGAAGTGAAACAAGTTCCCCATCCTCAGAGAAACCTAGGCCAGGAATGTGTGGATGGCCTTTGGAGAACAGGGCTGAAGGCCAGGCCCCACCTGCAGATTCAGGGCTAGATGTCGTGTCTTGGTCTGTTCTAGGTCACTCTGGGAGTACTTGAGCCGCATCTGCAGTCCATGGGCCTGAGACTGCACCTGACGCAGCTCTGCCTCTTTCCGTTTTGCCTTCATCTGCTCCTGAAGGGAACAAGAAAGAAGGGCTAGGTGGTAAGGTGGTGGTTGACCTAGGCTTAGGACTCCCACTGCTAAAAACAGCACTGCCTGTGGCTTACTTTCAGCTCCTCTGTCAAGCGCTCCTTCTTCTCTTTCAACTTGTCTACTGCTTTCTCATCCCAGCGCCGCGCCTTGGCCTTCAGGTCACTGGCCCCACCAGAGATCACTCCTGACTTCTGGAATAGGGTTCCATCCAGTGCCACTGTCTACACACAGCAGGGGGAAAAGAGAAGAGGAGGAGAAGCTGAACAAATGAATCTCCAGTACTGAGCCTGTCCAGCTTCAACCTGGGCAAGAGAATCCACACCTTGTGGCGCTGGTGGCCTCCAAAGGCAATGCGGCGGGCATCCTCCACGTTGTCACAGACAAGGGCATTGCCACAAGCATACTGCAGGGCCTTTTTGATGTGAGGTGGCTCATAGCGAATCACATCAATCACTAGCTTGGCCCCCTTCAGCTCCCGGAGTTTTTCATCTGTAGGCTTCACCTGTGGGGAGAAGCTCAGTCAGTGGCAGAACACAAACAGGGAGTACTAGAAGAGGGGCCCTTGAACACTGGCCTGACCCAATCCCCAAGAAGCCTCACCTCCAGGTAGTCAAGAGGCAAGAAGGTCTCAGGCTCCCCACGCTGTTCCTTGATATACTGAATACAGTCCCGGCCTGTCTTCTCCGAGTCCACAATAATGGCATCCATGTTCTTGCCCAAAACCTTGGTTACAGCAATCTGATACTTCTTTTGTGTGGGCTGGCACAGGTCAATGAGGCGGCCATACTGAGTAAAGTAGGAAGGGAAAACTGAAGTATGAAGCTTTTGGGAGCTGGCTCAGGAATCCTAATTCCCAGTGTGGAAAGGGGGACAGACTAGAATCTATATCAGGAAGTGAACGCAACTGTATTGCCTAGTGGTTAAGATAACCCAATACCAAGCATGGTGGTGTGTGCTTGTAATCCTAGCTACTTGGGAGGTTGCAGTGGGAGGATCGCTTAAGTCCGGGAGTTCAAGACCAGCCTGGGTAACATAATAAGATCCTGTCTCAAAACAAACAAAAAAGACAGCCCACTAGTTCTGTACCCAAGTAACCCTACCTTAACTGAATGGAACTGTATGGACTGAGGAGGAGGCAATTGTAGACTAGCTTGCTGTGTGCACTCTAGATCGGCACAGTGGCCAATCCTAATGTCCCTTCCAAAGGTGGAAAAGTTTGGGCAACAGAAGGGAGGTAAAGAAATGAATAAATGAGTTATGTAATGAGGGAAACTCAGTATTATATTAACACCTCAAAACAGGTTCAGAGCATGAGATATTGTCTCTTAGCACAATTATCCCAGATGCCTGAAAGTGTGAAGCTATGTTTGCTGAGAACACTCCTCATTTTGGAACCTAACAAGATTGAATAAAAGCCTGCAAACCTGAATGGTCTCACCCTAGGAAACATTTTCATGACATGATCATGGACTAGACTAATTATTAATTAATGACTAAATGGGATTCTAGTAATGTACCAGTTATTTTTCTACTTTTTTTTGGAGACGAAGTCTCACTCTGCAGCCCACGCTGGAGTGCAGGGGCGTAATACCGGCTCACTGCAACCTCCACCTCCCAGGTTCAAGTGATTCTCCTGCCTTAGCCTCCTGAGTAGCTGGGATTACAGGTGCCCGCCATCATGCCCAGCTAATTTTTGTACTTTTAGTAGATGGGGTTTCACCATGTTGGCCAGGCTGGTCCCGAACTCCTGACCTCCAGTGATCCGCTGGCCCCCAGCCTCTTTCTATTACATGATTGTTCTGATGTAAGGGATCTGTGTTTGAAGATCAAAGTGGACTGTGGTGTTTAATGAAATATATATTTAGTCTTCTACGCGGGAGTTCCCGACACACAACCCCTAAAACCCTTAGAATCTCAGGAATGAGCATTTTGTATGTTAATGAGACGATTATGGCTAGAGGCCCATAGATAGCTTCTGGATAGGGGCTGGTTACCAGAAAGACCAAGGTAGGATGAGATTTGCGACTCTTAGCTCCACCCCCACAACCTTCAGAAGGGGAGAGGGGCTGAAGTTTGAACTGATCACCGATGGCTGATGATTTGATCAGGCCTACGTAATGAAGACCCTGTGTGGGGGTACCTGGAGGGTGGCTTGCCCAGATTGGGCATGGAAGCTTCACACCTCTTCCCCCATACCCTGCCTTATGCATCCATCTGGCTGTTCTCTGCATCCTTTGTAATATCCTTCATAATAAATGGGTAAACATAAGTAAAACATTTTCCTGAGTTCTGTGAGCTGCACTAGTAAATTAATCGAACCCAGGGAGGGATTCTCAGGAACTTAATTTACAGCAGGTCAGTCAGAACCACAAGTCACAACCTGAGACTTGCAATTGGCATCTGAAGTCTTGGACTGAGCCCCTAACCCATGGGATCTGATGCTATCCCCAGATAAATAGTGTCAGAGTTGAAGTGAATTATAGGTCACCCAGCTGGTGTCTGCTGGAGAATTGCTTGGTGTGTGAGGAAAAACCCCCACACTTCTGGTATCAGAAGTGAAGTGTTGTGCTGGTTGTGTGAGAGTAGAAAAAACACTTCGGTTTTTTCCTATCTCACAGAAGAACACAGCCCCCATGCTATAAAGAAAAAGACTATTATGGCTCCCAAGCAATGACTTCAAGCAGTCGTGTCTGAATCCAGGATCATCTTTCTAAACCTCATTTACCATTTTACAGACCACCGCCACCCAGGCACTATGCCAAATATCTTACATATATTATTTCAAATTTTCACAAGTACTTAGTGAAATAAATCTGGCTGGGCGTGGTGGCTCACGCCTGTAATCCTACCACTTTGGGAGGCTGAGGCGGGCAGATCACTTGAGGTCAGGAGTTTAAAACCAGCCTGGCCAACATGGTGAAACCCTGTCTCTACTAAAAATACAAAAAAATTAGCTGGGCATGGTGGTGGGCACCTGTAATCCCAGCTACTTGGGAGGCTAAGGCAGGAGAATCGCTTGAGCCTAGGAGGCGGAGATTGCAGTGAGCCGAGGTTGTGCCACTGCACTCCAGCCTGGGCGAAAAAGCAAGACTCTATCTCAAAATCAATCAATCAATCAATCAATCAATCTCTTTTACCAGTTCCCTTCCCGCAGTCTCCAAAACCAAGCCTGGTTCCCTAAGAACTATCAGATTAAGAGAGCAGGGACTGACTCTAATCATACCTACCTCCCCAGCAGAGCCTCTAGAGAAGTGACAGGGAAATATCAGTGGAACCAAACTAAGTTGAACCCAGGTATGGGATAATATTCAAGGAACCTGGGAACTCAGGATTGGGTGAAAGAGGTCAAAAGATCAAGAGGTCTGATAAAGCTCAGGGTGTCCCTAAAAGCTACTGGGCCAGTTAATACATGCCAAGAAAGCCCATATAGAAGACTGCACAGAGCTACTTCCTGGGAGAGTAATTCCAGCCCCATGGTCCCACCTGCCTCCAAAATCTTTCCTGGTTTTCCAATTCCCCTCCCAGAGGCATGGACACAGCAAGACAAACCCTTCAGAAAAACGTAATTGTTACGATGAAAAGAACATGATTGCCTAGTATGACACGTTGAAAAATTAAAAAAAAAAAAAAAGAACATGAGCTTAGGAGAACAAGTTGGATTTGAACTGCAGTTCTTCCACTTAGAAGCAGTGCTTTTTTAAACCTCTCGGAGCCTCATTTCCCCTGACAATAAAAATGGGATTGGCAACCCGGTCCTCACAGGGCACTGGGAAAATCGTGTGACAGTGAGTGTAAGTACTCAGGAAATGAGTTCCCCCTCTGCTCTTACCACAGAGCCAGGGTAAAGGCGCTTGATGCTTTCCATTATCTCTGCCTTTCGCTGCTGGCGGCTGCTCTCCTGACGGTCAATGCGGGCATCCCCTAGCTGCTCCATCACCTGATTCAGCTCCTTATTGATTTCATCAATACGCCGCTTGGCCATCTCCACCTCCTCTGTCAGCTCCCCCTCTAGCTTCTTCTGCTCTTCTAGGGACTGCCTACAAAGTGAGGGCACACAGGAGTTACTCCTGCTGGTGAGAAAAATACTCCTGGCTCAGAGAGGCTCTGGGGGTCCTGCATGAAGATGGGCAGGTAGGTAGGGTCACAAGAACAGGCCTGGAAGTAAGGGGGACAGTTGCAGAGCTACATACTTGCTAGTGGTGATGTATTCCTCCAGTTTCTCAATCCGCTTCTGATTCTCTTCAATTTCCCGCAGCTTTTGCTTGATCTTGGCCTGGGAAACAAACGTATTCTATCACCAGGGGCTGCACAAGTTTACGCCAAGACCACGGGAGCCCTAGATAACACCCCTTATGTGCCCACTCATCCAAGAGTCCAACAGTCCAGGATAATCTGTCACTAATATAGGAGGCCTACTAAAAAGCAGACATAGATGGTGTTCGGTTGGATCTACTAACTGATGATGGGGGCCTTCCAGATCTCCAGAACCTCTCACAGGTGTTCTACTCAGCCAAGGCATCTTCTTCACCAACCATGGAGGCTCAAATCAAGATAAAAGCTTCACAGGCCTTTCTGTACCTGTTTCCTCATCTGCAAAATGTGGGTAATCTCCACTGCATGGAATACACATTAAGTGCTTAATAATAGGGTTGCTACTAATATTGATGACTATCACATTCCTCTTTTTAAAAAGTTTATTATTTTTTAAAGTTTGAGACAGGGTCTCACTGTGTTACTCAGGCTGATCTCAAACTCCTGGCCTCAAGTGATCCACCAGGCCTGGCCAACATTCTTTTAAATATTTAAAAGTGCTTAGCAGAATGCCTGGAACACTGTACACTCCTAGGACACTATGACAACTGTCTATCATTGTTGTTATTACAATATTGATATCAGGTAGGCAGTAAGTGAAGTATATTTGGTAAGAGTGTGGGCTTTAGAGCTACACTGCCCAGGGTCTGGTTCTGACACTTAATAGTTATGTGAGTGGCCGGGCACAGTGGCTCACGCCTGTAATCCCAACACTTTGGGAGGCCGAGGCAGGCTGATCACAGAGGCAGGCAGGAGTTTAAGACCAGCCTGGGCAACCAGCAGAAACCCTGACTCTACAAAAATAAAAAAATTAGGAGGCCGAGGCGGGCGGATCACTTGAGTTCAGGAGTTCAAGATGAGCCTGGTCAACATGGCGAAATCCCATCTATACTAAACATACAAAAAATTTAGCTAGGTGTGGTGGCACCCACCTGTCATCCCATCTACTCGGGTGGCTGAGACACAAGAATCACTTGAACCGGGCCAGGTGCGTTGGCTCACACCTGTAATCCCAGCACTTTGGGAGGCCAAGGCGGGTGGATCACCTGAGGTCAGGAGTTCGAGACCAGCCTGACCAACAAGGTGAAACCCCGTCTCTACTAAAAATATAAAAATTGGCCGGGCGCGGTGGCTCAAGCCTGTAATCCCAGCACTTTGGGAGGCCGAGACGGGCGGATCACTAGGTCAGGAGATCGAGACCATCCTGGCTAACAAGGTGAAACCCCGTCTCTACTAAAAAATACAAAAAATTAGCCGGGCAAGGTGGCGGG